CAGTCCACCATGCTCTCCATTCCCTCATAATAAGCCCATGGTCCCTGGAACCTCTGTGCCCATCCCTCAGCTCTGGTCCTATCTCTCGTGTGTGCTCTCTCTCTCTCTCTCTCTCTCTCTCTCTTTCTCTTTTGCAGCTGGCCAGTAAGGAGAACTGAACCCTTGACCTTGGTGTTATAAGGCTGCTCTCTAACCAGCTGAGCTAACCAGCCAGTCCCCTCTTTCTCTTTTTTTTAAAGCAGTTGGTCAGTGTCTTCTTTTTCTTTTCCCTCTTGAATTGAGCCAGAAAGCACTTCTGGCTTTTGGAACCCAAGGGAAAAAAATCTTCAAGGTCCATACCAGTGAGCCTTGGTTCTGTCTGTTGTTTTGGCAGAATATTCTGTGTCTTTTCCTCAACTCTGAGTTGCATTACAAAAGCTAATTGTCCTAGCTTAGAATGTGTCCATCTCAGGAAGGGGTGAGGAGAAACCCCAGACCCTTCCTACTCCAGGGTCCTGTGGGGTGGTGGCAAATGTCTGGGCAGGCTCTTGAAGAGAGCTTCTGGAAGGAGTGGGTCCTGAGCTTGGATGGGGACCCAGGCATGGAGATGGCCTTGTGGGGCCCTTCTGGGGAACAAAGGAGCTGGGCTGTGCCTGGGCTACAGGTGTGTGGCTCCATTCTTGGATGGAGTGAACTCTGCCCTCTAATAGGCTCATGTTAATTTCCTTTTAGTGGATATCATGGAAATAAAGGAAATCCGCCCAGGGAAGAACTCCAAGGATTTTGAGCGTGCAAAAGCAGTGCGCCAGAAGGAAGAGTGCTGCTTCACCATCTTGTACGGCACCCAGTTTGTCCTCAGCACTCTCAGTTTGGCAGGTGGGTGCATGTTTGTGTGCTTTTCTCCCTCCCTGTTCCTCAGTTTCCTTCTGAGCAAGCTCTTTATTAGGACCTGCCTGCCTACTAAAATGCATATGGGCAGTCCCAGTCCTGTCCCTGTCTAGCTGTGTGTCTTTGGGTGAGTGACTTAACCTCTCTGAGCTGCGGTTTGCTCAGCTGTGAAATGGGGAGAATACTAATGCCCATCTCATTGGGTCGTTGTGAGGAGCATGTTAAGTGTCTGCCTGGCTCATGCTGAGAGCTGAATAAATGGTGGTTAGAAAGTCTCATCAGTGTGAGCCAGGCTCTGTTGCATGAAAAATGTAACCTGCCTTCTTCCAGCAGACATCTCACAGGAAACTTGACACTGATCTGAAGGAACTGTCCTGTAATCTTAGATCACACACACGTGCACACACACAAGCAGTCCACACACCTGCACACGCACAGCCACACCTATCTGGAGGTGAGATTTCTGGCCTTCCCTGTGAATCCATCAGAAAGCAGAAGAGGCTTCTGAGAGATAAGCCCGAGAGGTGTGAGAAAGCTCAGGTACTTTACTCAGGGGTGGAAGCCTCTGGTTACTTTCAGGTCCAGTCCCAGAACTTACTGACTTAGCCATGTACTTACAGCCATGACTGAAAGAAAAAATAAGTAGTATTAAAAGTAGACCAAAGTAGAGGGGTACTATAAAATTTGAGGAATATAGGGACATTTAATTTAGGGCCAAATAGCTCTTAATTTCTCATTCATTCTTTCATTAAGCATCTTTTGAGCACATGCTCTGTGCTAGGTTGTGCTAGACGTCGGTGGATCTGTAAAGATAAATAAGACTGCATTACTGCCTTTAGGGAGCTCTACGTGGGCAGACAAACCTGAGGACAGGAAATTATAGCACACTGTGATGAGACCTATAGTTCAAGCATAGGAATCGAGAGTGCCTAATTCCCAGAAAGGCTTTGCAGAGGAGGTGATTTTTACACTGAGTTTTGAGGCACCAGTAGGAGTTGGAAGGAAAGAGGACAGTCCAGGGAGAGGGCATTACATGTGCAGGGGCTTAGAGGAGGCAGATAGCAAGCTGGTGTGGGAAATGATGCGTGTATGTCTGCTTCATGGTGTGTGGAGGGTGGGAAAGGTAGGGCTGGAGAGAGGAGGAGTCCCTTGATCATGAACCTTCACAGCCCTGTCCTCTTAGCCTGGCCACTGTTCGTGGTAGGGAGGCAACAAGAGCCCAAGGTGTGGTGCCTAGGATGCCAGCTTTGGGGTCTGTCCCACTCTGGGCTCCCTCTTCTAGGGCTCTGAATTCAAGGTCAGGCAGAGTGATGGTCAAGATCTTGATTCAGATCCTTGGTTTTCAGATGGCTGCCTTCTAGCTGTGTGCTCACGTGGCCTTTCCTCAGTGTGTGCTTGCATAAAGGGGAGCTCTGGTCTCTTCCTCTTCTTTAGAAGGGCACTAATCCCTTCATGGGGGCCCCACCCTGATGACCTCATCTGAACCTAACCCGTCCCAAAGGCCCCACTTCCTAAAACCATTGTTCTGGGGGTTATGGCTTCAACATATGAATTCTGGTGGGACACAAACATTCAGTCCGTAATAGCTAGTTATGGGCTGTGTGGCTTTGGACACATCGCTGAACCTGTCCTAGACTAGGTTTCTCCACATTAGTTAAATGGGGATGGTAATATACTTCCTGAATGGGCTTGTTTTTCAGGATTAGATAAATATAGGAAAAGCACTTACGACAGTGTCTAGCATACAGTAAGCACACTCAAGCTATTTTAGCTGCTAGGCAGTAATGAGGCTAGTGATAGTGACCACTGCCACCACCACTCGTAGCTGATTCGATTTGGCACAGGAAATAACCGCTTGTCACGCCTGTTGTAGAAAGCTTATCAGGAGTGTGCTGATTGCAGACAAAAAGCAGGTCTCAGAACCTTGCAGGTGTGAAGGCATTGCTTTCTTGGGTGCCTCCTGCAAAACTAGAAGGGCAACACAGGCTTCTCCCATCCCCATTGTCTGTATGGGGCGGAGGTTTCTGAGCAGAGGTCATTCTAGGAATTAACACAGCATTTCTCTTCCCATTTACCTTTCCAGCTGACTCTAAAGAGGATGCAGTTAAATGGCTCTCTGGCTTGAAAATCTTACACCAAGAAGCAATGAATGCGTCCACGCCTACCATTATTGAGAGGTACTTGGCTTCCGCCTTTTTATCTCTGTGGTTGTTCATTCATTTGTTCATTCCGCTGCTTTTTGCCAACATGGGCTAAAGGAGAGAAAAATGGGATGGTGCATCTTTGAGGCTCATTGAGTGGGTGCCCAATAGTGGCTGTGTACTCTCCAATATTTCAAATGAGAGCCTCTCTCCATGCAGGTCTTTAGCCTGGGCATATTGGGGTGACCAGTGCATTGGAGTTGAAATAGAAACATCCATTGGTGCTGGGTGTCAGGGAAAGAGGAGCGTGTCCTTCTTAAAGGATTTAATAAGGGATTAAGTGGACTGAACATAGGACAGTCAGACCCAAGGTCTGGAACTTTCCACCATTCATTCCCTTATGGGTTGGTGAGGGTCTTCTCAGGACTGTTTCTTCAATGTCATGGGTGTCTGGATGAGATTGGGGTGTGTTATTTTCCCCCCAGTAAACAAAACCCCTCCATGTTGCATCATTTTTCTTACCAGCTTTTTGGGGATTAATGGCTCTCATCAGAGGGAATTGGTCAACTTAAAGAAATCCAGCCTTTTCAAGTTGACGGGGCCCTCTGGACTCAAATAGGGTTCTTCAACCACAAGGAGAAAACTGCTTCCCGAGCTGCCCTCAGTAGAAAGTTGGAAATTCCTTCCCTTTCGCTCTAGTTTCCTTTGTCGTCATCCCATAGAAGTCACTTAGACTTGCACTGTTCTCTAACTCTCTCTCTCACCCAAAATATCTTTCCAGTTGGCTGAGGAAGCAGATTTATTCTGTGGATCAAACCAGAAGAAACAGGTAAGATTTGTTTGCATTTTTGCAGTTTTCTACTGATCATTTTGGTCTGTCATTTTCATTTGTTCTTTAAATGCTCTGGGGGTTGCAGCATATTTTGTGGTGGGCAAGGTCCTCATGAGGTCAGATTTGACCTACAAAGTGCCAGATGCCGTGTTAGGTGCTGGGGGTCGACAAACATAAGTCTCTGCCTGGGTGGGGCCTCCATTCCAGTGGAAAATTCCAGTCCAGCTGCAGAGATGACGTCTTTGCCATGGGGGATTTAGACCTCGTCACAAATATTGGAGCACCTTCTATGTCCTGGGAATACAGCAGTAACATGATCACTTTGGCGCCTGCCTGCCCTTGTGGTAGGAAAGAGATTGACTGTAATGAAGAGAACTGAGTTAAATAGCCCTGGTTCCAAGGGCTGTGCAGAGATGAGGTGGGTGATAAGATAACATGTAATTCAGTTAACTTGACTTTTTCACTTAACAGCACCTCTCGGAGAGGTCCCCCACCAACACACAAAGCTCTATGCCAGACTTTTTTTTTTTTTAAATAAGCATGTGGTTTTGGTTTTTTCTTAGATGAATACAGTATAATTTCAGAAATTGTTTCCTTATTGATGGAGGTAGAGTTGTTCCTAATCCTTTATTGTGACTAACGCTGCTATAAAAACCTTTGAGTCTATTTTTTTGGAACCTTGTGTGGGGTGGGTATGAGTGGGATAAATTCTTAGAAGTGGAAAACCAGCAGCAAAGCGTTTGCCAGTCTAATAGTTTGATAGCCAGAGCTGGCGGCAGTTTATATTTCTGCCACTGGTGCAGGAGAGCACCATTCCCTACCCTCTATGTCATCAGACATTGACCTTTGTTAATGGGATGGATGAAAGGCAGCAAGAGTGTTTCTGCTTGAATTTGCATTTCTTTATGGGTGAGGTTGAACATCCTTTTATCCATTTTTTTGAGGTTGTGATCCAGTTCTTGTTAATAATGCAATGATAAAATCTATCATTTATTGGGCACTGAGCACTTACGTCAGGCACTTTGCAATCACTGTCTCATTTTAGCCTCACATGAGACCATTTTTCTTTAAAATTTTTCCCCTTTGAGCCATTGTTGGTTTAGACACATCAGTATCATATGGGAGGCAATAACTCAACTTTCCTAATACTACCATTTTGTTCCTAAGTCTTTCCATCTTTAAGGTGACATTGTGTCTGGTCAGTGTCTTCTGTCACTTGTTGATTTCAGAATGATCATGTCTGTATGCTCTCTTGCAGGGATGCCCCACAGGAGAATTTGGAACTATTATCCATGAAGTGCTCACTAGTCTGGTAGCGTCAGGTCAACCAGTGGCTCTGTCCGCATTTTCCTCTGCACCAGCCTTCTTTCCCTCCTCTCCTCTTCTCTCATCCATCGTTCCCTCTGGTCCTACACACTGGGCCACCGAGGTGGATCAGATGAGGTCCCTGGGTTGGAGAATTTTGTATACAC